ACCATGTTGAGGCCAGGGGAAGAGGGTCTATAAACCCCCGTCCTTGGCCTGCATGGGACCTGAGCCCTGGTATGTCTTGGGGGGGAAGCCCCTGCCAGGCTTTTGTTCCCTACTCCCTACTCAAGGGGAGGGGGCAGTCCCTGCCATGTTTTTTCTGCCTATGAGCAGAGAGGCGGGGCATGGTCACACCCTTGCCAGGGGCTCACAGGCTGAGGTGACTGCACAGGATGCAGCCAAACAGCAACCTGGGTCTGCCTTTGGGGAAGGGGGTAGTCCCTGCTAGGCCCCCCCCCTCCTGCTCAAGTGGAGAGTGTGCCTTTACCCAAGCTGGGGACTCACAGACTGGGGTGGGGAGCTGAATCTGGACCCCAGCCAGAGTTTGCCAGGGGGGGAGGCAGCCCCTGCCTGGTTTCTCCCCTGCTCCCCACTCAAGTGAAGGGGTGGGGGATATGGCCCAATGCCAGCAGGCTGAGGCAGAGGGGTGGGGGGGAGAGGGGTTTAAACAGGGGAGCAGGGGAAAAGACTGAGGGGCTGCTCCACCCCTGCCAGGCAGACCCTGGCTGGGGTTTAGAGCCAGATTTCCCACCTCCACTCCCTTCTCAGGCAGGTTGAGCAGTGATAGTGCTCTGGCTAGGGAGCAGAAAGCACAGGTCAGGGCTGCAAAGCATCCTGGGATGCTGGGGGACTGTGAGTTAACTTGAATCAGGAGGGGGTTTGGGATGGAAGTTCCATAAACTGGTTTGACCTAAATCAGTTGAGTCTGATACGGCATCCAATCAGGTTTATCTTAAACTGGTTTCAGCCATTTTGTAAGTGGTTTAAGTGCATGGAACTTCTCTTCTGTTACAGGTTTAAACCAGTTTCTGCTCACTTAAACCAGTTTGTGTGTAAATTCTGTCCCTAACCAGAGTGATCTGCTAGGAGTCTCACAGGAAATCCGTGGGAGAACCAAACTCTGAACCCATGTTTGAGATCTAAGACAGGTTCTTAGCCAATAGACCTTTTTGTGATGACTTCACATCCACAAGCTAAGCAGGCCTGAATCTGCACAATGCTGGAATAGGAGTGCTCCAATATATTGTAAGCAGCTGTTGTGTAGTTCTAATCATGTCACAGTTTCCTGTATTGACATTATGCAAATATTGTACAAAATATATGACATCTATGCCTACTTCCCAAGTAAGAGAGTCCTAGGGCAGGTGAGAATTGCCCAGCTCTTGCTGTGAGCAGAGAACAGGACAACTACAACAAAGCCATCTTTCCTACCTTGGCAGTAATGTTTACAAAACACTTGCCATAAGCAAAGCTCCCATGGTGTATCTAATCAGAAGGTCATATAATTGAAATTTAAAAAAATGTAAGGATGGGATATCATAAAGTTTTTTTATGTGTTTGTTTTATGTACTAGCTCTTGGTGTGGCTAAGTCTTAATTTAGGAGTTTCAGTTTGTCTCATTTCTGCAAGTTGATTAACACTTCAGCCCTGATCAGCAGCACACATGCATGTACTTAGCTTGGAATCATGCACATAACTAAGCATGCTTAAGAGTTTTTCTAATTGAAAAGACAGTGCTCAACATCTTTCAGGATAAAAACCTAACCTAGGGCTTACCCATTCATTTCCATGCTTCTCTGTCTTAATGAATACCTTTCCATTCCTTAAACCATGGTGCTGCTTTTCCTGTCTCAGAATGACAGCTATGTTTCCTTCTCAGGTTGCTTTTCAATGTGGGGAGGAAACAGATTTTATTCATGTGCAAAGTAGCTGTAAGGCATTTGAAGGAGACCATTGTCATAAAAGTGGCCTAGACATTATATTATGCATTTGTCATACACTCTAATAGAGATAGGTTTGGGTAGATTGCAGCACTGTCTCTTTCCTTAGCTTCTGGTACACTGAGGCCAGGGACAGACATTCAAAAATGTCTGAATTGAACCTGAATTTATTAAATCTTTGCAGGTTAGTCTAACCTGCAGAGATTGAACTGATTTGCAAGTGGATAAATATTCACTTTTGATTCAGGAAATGCAGGCACATGACTACAGTGGCTCAGACTCGAAGCCAGGAGGCACTAGAGTGAACCCTCCCTTCCTTCCATAGTGCTGAGCTGAGGGGGAGGGCAGGGGCATGGCCAGGCCTTGGCAGGATGCTCTGATTAGGGAGTGGTTTAATCCTGCACAGTCCCCAGATGGGGTGTGTTTGGAGGGAGAGGGGGAAGCAGCCCTCACCAGGCTTTCCCCCCCGCTCATTGGTCAAGGGGCAGGAGTGTTGCCAAACCCTGACCCCTGGCTACCACTCTGAGGCAAAGGGCGGGGTGGGGGGAAGGTGGGGAGGAGAGGAAGAACTGCTTGTGTGGACTGCAAGCATCTGTTGGTGGTACTGAGCTTTTCAGTTTCCTTCTCCCTGCTTCTTCATACTGTCTGTAGCAAACTGACAGGCAGTGCATTCATTTCAAGCCAGGTCATTTCCACAACTCTCTTTGTCCCCACACTGACAGCAAGCCAGCAGGGAGCTTATCAGCTCATCAAGAAAACAAAGCTCTTCTTAAACAGTTTTTTACAAAGCATTTTTAACGAAGAACAGAGGGACATTACCAGCTGACCTGTTGATTAGCTCCAAAAAGTCCTAAGGGGACACTGTTCTGTCTGCCTTTGTTCCAGTGAAATTGGAGACACACCCACATAGACACCTCTCAACATTAGCTAGCATGGGGGTGGCATGACCGTAACCAGATGCCAGCTGGGGTCCATGCTGCTGGGGTCCGTCCTGTGGGAAAGGGGAGGGAGGGAGGAAGGGAGGAGGTGATCCCTGCTTGAGCAGCAAGCAGATGCTGCTGTGCTTGTAGTCTCCACCTCCTTCTCAGCCAGCCTGAGCTCTGGCTAGGGAGGAGAGGGGTGAGGCCAGCACTACTCTCTGGAGCAGACAGCCCAGTCCAGGGCTGAAAAGCATGCTGGGATGCTGGGGGACTCTGATTTAACTTAAACCAGGAAGGAGTCTGGAATACAAGTTCCATAAACTGGTTTGACCCAAATCAATTAAGTCTGATACTATATTCACATAGGTTTATCTTAAACCAGTTTTAGCCATTTTGAAACTGGTTTTGTGTGCACTGAACTTATGTTCTGTTACAGGTTTAAATCAGTTTCTGATCACTTAAATCGGTTTAGGTGTACTTTGTGTCCCTAGCCTGAGGATAGTTAAGTGTGGTACTCTGAACTCAGGCAGAAGGCTGGATGCATATCTATGTATCTTATAGACTAACTAAAGAAATATAGAGCACAAGCTTTTGTGAACTCGAGTTCCTTTCATCAGATGCTGTGAAATGACAGGATAGAATAGTGTATGAAGTGGAGTAAGTGATTTGAATACAAAAGCTGGGAAGAGAAGAGAGAGAGGAAGTGGGGAGAGGGACAGTGCTGGGAGAAGCAAACAAGCAATGAACCCATAGGAACAAAGAGGTCACAAAAGCTAAAAGTTGTCTGTTATCCTCTCACAGGAAAGGCAAACAGGTACTGAGAAAGATAGGGATGTAATAAGCACTAGGAAGGCATGCAATGATAATTTATTTTTTCCTTTTGCAAAAAAGCAAACCTATTGTGTTTTAATATGTTTAAAAATAATTTATTTTGAAGAGAAGTTGTTAGTATGATCTCTATTCCAGAGCAAAACCTCTTGATTCAATTTGTTATTTAGTTTTCAAAAGGTTGGGTTTTTTTTGCTTTTTTCCTTTATATGAGCCTAATGGTTTCTTATATTTTTGCATGCATTGCCATTTATTCTCTTATTTTGAAAAATGACTCCTTATGTATTTGTTTAATTTATTTCAGGTCTGCTTGTAATGGAAATATTTTGGATCTAAATTATTCTGGCTTTCTGGCTTTTAGCACACCTGTCAGATCAGGACATATGATTACAGAACTCTGAAAGCCATAGCAGAACATGGATACATTGTCCAAGGCAATGCTGGAAATTGAAGCAATATGAACACAGAGCTATAAAGCACATCCTTTGCAAAATATATCCTATTAAAATAATATGCATTTGTTCCACAGTCCTGGTACAGCTCCTGCTGCCTGGGCATTCACCAGACTGGTACATTTGGCCCTGGGATGCAAGACCTTTTTGCTTTTATGATTCCGTTGATCTAGATGGGTGCAATGCTGCCTTTTCCTTGGCCTCTCCAGGGCAAAATCTATTAAACCTTTATGGAAACTGGACTTTGCGGCCCAGCTGCCCTAGGTCCCCAGAACCAGAGCTGGCTCCCAGACTCTCCAGAATCTTAAGAACACTCGTTCTTAGAGTACCAACCTATTGGACATGCTCAGTTTACAGCTCACTTCTTCAGGAAAGGAGACAGTTGAAAGCAAACAGACACATTTTTTAAGGGTTCCTAACTGGTTTAGCTAATAGAGGTAGGCAAAATAACAAACATGCTCTCTGCATTGCCTTTAATTAATTTTTCTTACCACTGAGGTGTTCTTTGGGCTTAGGGAGTCTAGCAACCCTTCCTCCTCCTCTTCTCCAATGTGAGGTCTCTCTCTCCTATGCAGCCACTTTTTCTGTTTTCGTTTCTTCCGTGGTTGGTCTTACAATTGAACAGCATTCTGCTACAAAAGTATGTTTCCATTCTGCAGCCCAAGTGTGCTGTATCTGTCCCAACCTCCTTAACTTTTTAGCCTTGGTATTTGTCTTAATTGAATTCATGTGTTAGTCTCATTTAAAATAGGGCTGGAGTTCTCTGTTGTGATTGTCTAGCACAGAGCTATGGACTGTACGTATGCAGGAGTCTGGTTGTAAGATTGGGTGCTAAGTTAGACAGACATAGGTTATTGGAAAGCAAACCCAAATATGGTGTGATGTTGCAGGAATATTCTGTATTTGTGGTGGCTGCAGGAAATGTAAATAGAATTTAGAAACTGGCTTTGCTTTTGTTGTAAAGTAGATGCACATTTGCAGACCAAATTAAAGACAACTGATTTCTCATCATATTCATACTACAGGTCAATTACTCTGGCTAAAAATGTTTAGAGAAGATCATGGATCTTGGATGACAATGTTCTTCAGCATCATTCTCTTCCTCTTCATTTTTTCTCACATTTACAATCTGTGCCTCCTTATGGCAGGGAATATGAGGTAGGCTTGTTTTTTTCTTTCTCACTGTCTTCTTATAAACTAAATTTGATATAGAAATCTTTTTACTGCACGCTATTGCATAATTAACAACAGGTTATTGTAGTGTAAACAAGTTAACATTTGAAATATATTTTGTTAACACCTCAATATTTCTGAATTTGGTGATGGTGGTATTTTTATAATTTAATTAAGAGATATAGGGTATCAGTCTTGGATAGTGTTAGACTGATTAGTATATAGTCAGGCAGCCCCCGTACTTTAACACCCTCATGCCCTAGCCAGCCCTTGTCATTATTTTCACATGCATTGCAGCGCAGGGGCTAGGGACAGAAGTTACACATAAACCAGTTTAAATGATTGGAAACTGGTTTAAACCTGTAACAGAACAAAAGTTCAGTATATATAAACCACTTTCAAAATGGCCATAACCAGTTTAAGATAAACCTGGATGGATGTAGTACCAGACTTAACTGATTTAGGTTAAACTGGTTTATGGATCTTCTGTCCCAGATCCCTTCCTGGTTCAAGTTAACTCACAGTCCCCCAGCATCCCAGGATGCTTGACAGCTTCAGTGGAACAGGGACTGCCCCACCCCTGTACTCCATAGTCTGCTTCCTGCCTGCATCTGTCAGCCCATGGGGGAGGGGGGAGGGCAGGGAAACAAACCTTCAAAACCTTCCTAACCTGGGTCTACACAGTGTGTTGGGGGGAAGCCCCATGGTGGTAGCTTTTCACCCCTCTGCCACCTTCCCCCTGCTGGGGGCAGCCCTCATCTCCCCCTCCCATGCACAGCTGCTTGCTTTAGCCACTGCCACAGGAGAGAGGAGGAAGGTGTTCCCAAGGCCCGGGGGGCATGGGGGTGAGTGGTCTTGCAGTGGCTGAGACTTGCAATGGCTGAGTTTAGCAGCTGTGGGGTTTGGAAGAGGTGGGGTTTGGGAGAGGAAAAATTCCCCTCAGCTCCCTGGGGCTGCCCTGGGCTGGGGAATCCTGGGCTGGGGTTGGATGAAGCCCCCCAAGTCAGGGGCTCCCCAGTGACCCCATGCTGGGCTGCACGGGCAGGCACCTGTGTGCAAAGGGCTTCTCCCTCTATCCTGTGACAGTGGCTGAAGCAATCAGCAGCTGGAAAGGGGGGGGGAGAGAAATTTCCCTCTGCTCCCCAGGGCTGCCTGGGCTGGGGAACTCAGGCTGGGGGAAAACCCCTGGGGGGTGAGGCTCTCTGAAAGTGGATCAACACCTGGACAGGGGGCTCCTCTACCCCTGTGGAGGGACAGTAGGGGGCTGGGACCATGTATTGGGGAGCCAATTGGGGATGGCCCGACTTGGCTGGGCTGGCAATGGCCGGCAGTCTGGGAGACCTGTTTTAGTGCCCCTGCCTACTGGCCTGGGTCAGTGCAGGCCTCCCTCTGCCTTTCCCAGTTGAAAACTGAACATCGGTTCAGTTGGTTATCTGTTCAATCCATGCAGCTTAGAGGAAGCTTCCTAGATTGAATCGATTCTTCCTTGGGCTTCATGACTGTCTGTAGTCAGCCTTAATGCCCCTGCCATAGGATAGTACCATCCCCAACAGACTTAGCCTTAATGACCCTGCCATAGGATAGTACCATCCCCAACAGTACTATCGTATGGCAGAGTTAGTTAATTTACTGTGCCCTAATATTGGTGCACATGTAGGTGGTGATGCTTTACTGCAGAACTAATTAGTGTACTCTGCAGTAAAGTGCATGTGTAGATGCACCCAGTAGGAGGCAAAAATTGTTCTCATAGAATTTTATGAGATGCTGTTTAATAGACTCAGATGCATTATGGAAATAACAATGTAATGTGTTATACATCCCAGAGTGCCACCACAAATATATGCAGTACAAAAGTCACAATACCAGTGTAAGAAAAATAAAAGGTGAAATTGATAAAGTGATAAATTAGGTGTTGTTGACACCAACCAATCACATTAATAATGTAAACACCATAGTTAAACCAAACAAATTATGGATTTGTATAAACCCAGAAAAGTATGAATAAGGGCATCAAACCTGATTGATATCCCAGGAGAACCCTGTGGTCATTAAGGCTCTGAGATGATAGTTATTGATAGATACCTAAGAAGCAGCACAATAACCCTTTCATCTCTGGGCTGATTGAATTCTGAATCCCATAATTTATATCTATTATTAATTAAATGCATCTCTTTGTGTTTATTGTTTATTATTATGATGTAATTATGATGTAATTGTAATACCATGTTTCCTTGAATCCCAGATGAGGATTTTTCAGCCACTGCTCCCCCTCTGCTCTGCTCCTTTCCTCTCCACCTCTGCTCTTTGTTGCCAAGTTTCTGTTGCTTCTGCCCCAGCTGCCCTGGCCACTGCTGCTTACCTTGCTGTCTTCACTCTGGCTCCAGCTGGGCTCTGTCTCCAGCTCAGAATGGGGAGCATGGAGCACATTCTGCCTCCCACCTCACCCAGCCATGTAGCAGTTGCAGTGGCAGCAGTTCTGGTTCTAGCAGGCAGGCAGTAGGAGGTTAAAGTGAAAGGCAGGCACCAGGGAGAACAAGAGCGGTGGGAGGCATGAAACGGTACAAACACCACTGTGAGGGGCAGTTGTGGGGTGTCTAGACACTCAGGGGTGGGGAGGCAGCAGGGGGGACAAGTGGTAAGGGGCAGGGGTCAGGTCACCATACTCCCCTACCACTCCTCCCACCCCCCCACCTGCTGCTGCTTGCCCTGCTGCAGTGGTGGGAGAACAGATTTAAGATAACCCTCCAAAATTAGATTCTATACATGGAAAACTTTAACAAATTTATATATTTTCCAAGTTTAGAACCTGATGATTGGGGTGCGGTCTTAAATTCGGAGTCATCTTGGATTCAGGTAAATATGGTTTATCTTCCCAAAATTAGAAAATATTGAAATCAGTGGATACTGGCCTCTCATGCCAAACAAAGTTAATTTACCCCAGCCAACATTCCTCTGTCCCACCTTTATTGTACTCTTTCTCGGTTCATTTGCATTCTATTAACTGCACTTAATGATCCTAATGAAAGTCAATGTCCGTGTGCATACAGACAGGCATTATCTATTTATAAAGCTGTTTGTGTCAGTCACTCTGTCCTCTGGCATAAAGTGGAATGAAATCTTTCTCCCTGATGTTTTGGCCAGTCATTGGACTGGCAAATTATTGTTATGAGAAACAACATGTTATGTCCAGCTGCGTGACTTTTACATACAACATTATTACTTGTTCTCCATGCTGTGTAAGTGTGTTGTAACAATATGTAGTAAAATTCATTCAGGCACAAGCTTTTGATCTTAATAGTATATTCCTACCCCAAAGGAGCTAGGATTAGCTCTCTCAAAGTATAGATAGAATAGCATGCACTGTTCCTCAGAAAAAAACAATGCATTGAGAGATTATTCAGCAAAGGGAACACTCTCAAAGTCCATTATTTATTCTGTTTTAAAATAGGATATTTTTGGAGTGGATTACCTCTGATTTTACTGCATACAGTACTTATGAGAGCTGCATTTGACACCTCTGCAAACAAAAAGAGTCACAGTATGGACAGAACACTTATTTGTATGATCCAGTTATACACTGGAAGAAAATTGAGGCTCAGGGGGCAGGTTACTATCTGTATTCATGCAGCCTATAGTCTGAGGACCGTTGACTTACTGTCATCTGGGCTTCTGCACATAGGGAACTTTAAAATAAAAGCATTTAAAGTAATAAATCACTTTCCAAAGAAAAGGGGTCTCTGAAAGCTTTAAAATCCAAGTTCCAAGGCTGAGGAAAAAAAAAAAGCCACTCTTTTTGTGCCTGTGCATGCATCACTCTGTCGCTCTGCCAGATAGCTTTGTATGGTGGCAGGAGAGTGAAATTGGCAAGTTTTTTCATGTCTGAGCACTTGATCTTGTCAATGAAAATCCCCAGTGGCTCATAGAATGGAAACAGTGGGGACAGCGATGCATCTGGCTACATCTGTCAGTAGAGATGAATACAGCTGAAAATGTCCTGATGAAAGATAGGGACACTTTGCACAGGAGCTAGCTTTAACTTTGTCTCAAGACCTCATCTCTCAGCATATGATAATTTTTTATTATTGCTAAGATGTGTTTGAACGGTGCTATTTCATGCATATCTTAACTTTGACAAACCTAAAAACATCTGGCTGGTGTCCCTTTAAAGACTCAAATGAAGAATTTACACTTTTCCAGAAGCAGACAGAAGGTGAGTAATATGAGGATGTAGGCTGCATGGTGGATACAACTGAAAGGCTTTTCTGACTGTGACAGATAGACCCATGTCTGTTTTGAATCTCCTTTTGTGAAATCCATTTATTTCTTGGGTTTCAGCTTTGTATTGTAACTTCTACTAGGGATTAAACCATTCATTTTGTTGTAAGGGCCACCTGAGTGACTGTATCTGAGAAGCTGGGACCAGAGCAACTGGTGCCATCAATTTTGATTGCATTTCAATTACTGGCCCATCCACAAGAATAATGGATTCTCTAAAAAAGAAGCCTGGATGGGCTAAGAGAGTAGAATTCCCAGTCTGGGTATTTGGCTCAAAGGGATTGGAGATTATATTTAATTGAAAATGTACTCTATGAATAGGGGGACCAGGAGGGTTGCAACCCCCAACCATGTGCAGAAAACTAGAGGAAAACAGAAAACAAACAGGAAATGTTGCCTAGATTGTGGAATTTGACTTAAACCCAGGACTTGAAGAAGGATGAAATCAGATGGTGGGAAATATATTCAGAACATTTCCCCCTACCAGAGATCTGTATTTATCTAGTGGTGTTAAAACTACTGGTTAAAAAAGTCCTTTGATAAATCCTGTATTCCTTGCTTAATTGTTCCGTGTTGTCCCCAAAAGAGTCACCCAAGATGCTCAGATTGCCCACAGCGAGGTGGAGTGCTGAGGGGCTATATAAGCAATTGGATGGGAGGTTCTTAGGAGACCTGAGGCACTTGTTTCAAGGGCTTAGGTGGCTGAACTG